TCTGGAAGGGCCTGTGTTAGAAGGAGAGGAATGACTTCCTTCATCATTTGTGTCTCCTAATTGAGAATAAAGAGTAGAGATGGTGACTGTCTCCTACCTGACTAGTAAAAGACATTTAAGAAATGAATTCTTAGCATTGTTTTTAATTAAAGATATTTGTTCAGTGATGTACTTTGTTAGGACAATTCCTGCCCAGCTCCAGCTCTGATATTTTTAATCAGGAAAAAAAAAAAGGAAGCCATAGTAACGTGACATTACATGAAATAACATCTGTATCAGAGAGTCTGCAACCAGACCAAGAGTTTCCACATATTTTTATTCTTTGTTTAAAAAGAAAAATACAGCCCTGAAGACAATTTCAATAGTTTTAAAAGATTCAGTATTTCTTTTACAAAAAAAATCCAACAAAACATAACAAACCCCAGCCCTGGAGAACCAAAAAGTTACATTTTCAAACCCCAATTTTAAATCTGCCTTGATAAACCTTTTTAATGTTAATATACAAACCACAAGTATATTTGAACATAATACATTAATTTATGCCTTGCAAAATCTAAGCTATATAGGACAGAATATATCAATGCAATGAAAAGAATCCTTATACAACGCAAAAGTTGTTGGGGACATGACTTTTGAAACTATAGTTGAATGTACTGTGTACACAGGAGTAACAAGATCATATCTCATCATCCCCAAAAATGAGTATTGTGCATTTGACAGCCTTGTAGGGTCACTGCAATGGGAACTCTGTTTGATTAGCATTGTGGGTTTGCCCTAGGAGTGGCATGAGTCGTGTTCTTACAGTTTGAGCACCCTGGCCAATGAACCAAACAGTGATAGTGTCACTCCTAAGATGATTAAAAAGCATTAAAGGATCAAGATTTATAGGTGAGGCTGCATTTTCAATGAATTCTAGTTTCTGTACAGCAACTTGACTGGAGAGATGAGATATTAGAGGCAGTAAATCTTTTCTCCAGTTTCTTGGTCCTTCCTTTACATCTATTCAGAGACCAAGCATCTGGTATTAGATGAATTATTGACATTATAACATCCCAGATAAGGCAGTCTAATTTCTATAGCTGCTGAGCATTTGAAATACACTGAAATAGAAAGATTGTGATGTGACTGCAATTCTGAAAATTGAGACAAAAATTCTATGCTTCACCAACAGTCTTGTTTTCTTGAGAGTTATTAGTAAAGCTGAATTTTAATTGTAAAAAACAAATTACTGCCTGAGGGGGAAACTGCAAATTAAATAGAAGGATAATTAAATACATTTCAATGACCTTTGCTGTCAGTCATAATTGTGTAAGCTCAGGAAAAAAATACCATTCTGTAGAGCAAATATGTTCTATTATGTTTTGAACATAATGTGCATGTATTAAGCCACTATATTCTCATGTGCATTACAATGTAGGATAGTGTAGGTGTAGAATATAAGGAAATGTAAGCTCCATATGGTTCCAATGGAACCACGAAAGCGATCTTAAAAATTAAATGCTTTGCACTTTTCCAAGCTCATGGTGTATTTTCAGTTATTTAAGGTTGTTTGTATGTTTCGGTCTGAGTCTTCTCATTTTGATTCATCTCATTTTAAGACTGAGTTTTCTGAAGAGAGAGACTGTTAGATGGAACTTTGTGAGTCATACATTTGGCTCAGTTTGGCTTTGAGGATAAGAATACCAGCCTTAGGTATCAGCAGCCATTGATATCTAGCCAAGATGAACAGCAATAATCAGATGTAAAATCATTTGCAAAATCATAAATTTGAAATACTAGGGGAAAATATGAAAAGCAAGTACAAAAAGGGGGAACTGAGCTCCATTGTTATTACTGTTTCATGTCCTACTGTGCAAAAGGTAGTCTTTGAAGCTTAAAAATGTTTTGTTGATGGGTAAATGACTAAATAGACGCCAAAGCTAGGAGAGTTTTTGATTTTCACAAATCTTAATTTTAGCTCTTCAACAATAGGAACTATGATTCATGTAGTCCATTTTTTCCCTCAGATGAAGTCAGGAACTTGTAGAGAGTATGGGTTAAGCACTAGCTGATGAATTGCAAGCTTCAGACTGTTGCAGACAAGGAGTAATTGATTGTGTGCTATATCTTACCTGTTTGGAAGTCTGTAGTGACCCTGCAAATTCTACCTATTTTTGTCTTAGAATCATCCTCAGAAAAGTGGAAAAGTTAAGGTCAAATATTTTAAATACTTTTATTTTTTCTCCTTTGAGAAAATTTCACACTGGGGGAGACTGAGGGGCTAAGGTTATAACAAATCATACTGGTTTCTGAGTGTCTCTGTGAGGGGCTAAGGTTATAACAAATCATACTGGTTTCTGAGTGTCTCTGCAGTCCAGAGATGCTGAAGGAGAATCATTTCTACTTCAAAAGCTGGATATTTTTAGTGATCAGTGAGTCTTTTATTGAGAAAAGAATGTCCATAGCACTCACAAGCTTATATCTGCAGGAAAACGTTTTTCCCCAGCTACTGGATACTCAAGAAATGAGGAAAGTGATTTGCTATACAAAAGAAAAAAAAAATAAACTCTTCCTTCAGTCCCTCTGTGATCTATCACTTGAGGAGAAACATATTTGGATATGTTCCCAGGGGAATGACTACAACTACATCTGACAGATAAAAAAATCTCCTGTGTTTCTGCCTCTAGAAGCATGAAGCCTGTGATGCTTGATGTGATGTTTTCCTTGGTTTTTGTACAAAACTTGCAGTTATACTGCACAGGAAGTGTGATGTCAGGAGAATATGAGCTCTGACTGCAAGAATTTGCAGCTCTCAAAGAGTGCTGGCCCTACACAGCATGTGCACAGGAAATCTCTGGACAGGCATCTGACTGGAACTCTCCCCAGCTGACTTGTTTGCTTCAACGTTTTTTCTCCTGGCTTTGGACTGACTCTGGAATTCTCTTCATATCAGATCAAGTTTTCACAGAATAGGAAATATTTTGTGGAAAGTCCCTCATAACTGCATTGCTTTTCAGGAGGAATTTTTCTCTCTATACAAAATCTAAAAAAAAGCTGGTCCTTTGACTCTTTCCTTTCCTTTTTCCTTTCCTCCATGTTTCTCTTTACTGACACGGGCCCACACATACACATCATGTAAAAAAAGAAAAATTACCGTTGCAGTGTCTGTGCTTGTATTACTGCAGCATCTTTGATACCAAAGTGCTTCTCAAAATACTTGTACAGAAAAGCAACAGGGATTTTCTAAATGCAGTATTTTTTGATAGTTCAAAAATAGGCTTCTATGTTTAGAAAGAATATTGAATTTTGTCTTTTATAGCTTTGTGATTTGTTGTTATGACAGACTTAATCAATCTGATGAGTCCATGCTCAGTGTTCTGGCAAATATAATCAGCCCTGGAGTGTTTTCTTACTCCCCAAAGGCACATTGTTTCTGTGTTTATTTTATTCTGATGTTTTATCTGGAAAATATATTTCTTTTTCTTGAAGTGTACTGTTCTGAGACATACATTGAAAGCCATGTGTTTAATTTAGTGAATATGAAATGATCTTTTTATTTAGGAAGTCAAAGGAGGTTATTGAACCAAAAGTCTAGTAAGGTAATGGGCACAGAAGTAACAGAGAAAAGATTGATCTTGTAAGAATTACAGGGCAGATTTAAAGACAGTTTGTAGTAATAAAAAAAATTACTGTTAGAGACTCCAAGACAAGTCCTATGCTTCATTTCTAAAAATGATCTACAAAACGTATACTTGTATTAAAGCAAGACCAAGATCTACTTTCCACAATTCATTCCTTGCTTCTGAATCTTCATTTTGTGTTCTTTAATGTCACTTGTCTGCCAGATTATTCTAGGGCCTTTGAAGTGCAGAAAGATGATCTATTTTCAGGCTTTACTCCCATGCATAGTTCCAGCATGCACTGCAAGTCTTTAGGGGTGGGATCTGTCTCCTAAAAATATGGAGCTTGTAATGGAGTACTATAAAATAATGAATAAAATAGACAGCAGAGATATTCAAGACTAAAAAAAGTAAAAAATGTATCTTATATGTGATGTTGAGACTACTAAAGAGGATATAATTTAACAAGAAAACATTTATTTATTTGATTTTTTTAATATAAATGTCAGTACCTGCCTCTGTGAAGGCATGTTTAAGTGTATGGAGAAGCTGAGCTGACCATTTATTTTCCTCAGCAAGTGCAGAACAGAGCCTGTAGTACAGAGTGGGGTGTACCTTTCCCATTGCAGGAAAGGCAAGAAAAAGCAACTGCTGCTTCATACCAATAACTTTAGTACGTTGCTACACCGTGCTCGTTTCTTGGGTGTTATGCACAAGGGCTCTTTATTAATCAGATCAGTTGCAGAAATGACATGGAACATGCAGAGTATTGAAATAAGGTATTCTACATAACACATGAATACTTTGTGTGTCAAGGTAATTTAGACTCAGAGCTCTGTTTAAATGTTGTAACACTTAATAACAGTCTAATGCTAGGCAGAACATAATTACTTGCTCTCTAAAGCACAATTTGTAATAAGCAATGTTGTCCTTACAACTCTGATGACTGAGATCATCTCTGAATCTTCAGTTGAAATGCCACACCCAAGGTCAGCCATTATCTCTATGTATTCTTATTATCATAGTCTGACAGGAATTGTCTTTAGTATCCATATATAGAGCATTCATGTCCATGACAGCTCTTTAATGCCAGGTAAGACTTTTGGTATTCTCCTTACTAGGCAGTAAAAGTAGTTAGCCTTAGCAGAAGGCTCTTAATAAGTGAACTAACATCAGTTAAGGTTAAAATAAAATGGTAGCATATTTTAAGTAATATAAATTAATTTAAGTTTATAGTTCTAACGAACCTTACATCTTTCCAAACTAAAAAAGTTCTTGAATTCTGGTAATCATGCAGCAATATAAAATGTCATCCTTTTGACATACTGTTCCAGAGAAATCCTAGTCAGAATGCTGAAATAGACAGCCGAGCCCGTTCAACTCACTCAGGGGAGACTATGATGATAGTATGACTTTTAATCAGTGGAAAAATGCAAACCAAATATTTGTTTAAATTGCATCTGATACCAAGGTATTGTTGAACAGGTGTCTTCCTCTGCTATTTCCATGGGAGGTGGTTTTTTTGTTTGATTACACTTGGATGTTAATAAACATTTAATTTCATTTCTAGTTTGGTGCTGTTTTTCATGAAATCTCTCAAGATCAGCAGTGTGTTTTTTCTGTGTCCATTACAATTCCCAAGTCCCGACAGTCAAAACCCTGAAAGCAACTCAGTTTCCTCTGGTTTTAGCTGAATTTCACTACCTGAGCCTCAGATAACCAAGAAGCAAATTTCCCTGGGTGTCACTCCAGTACTGAAATTTATCCATGTCAGTATTATACAAGTTCATTATATTCTTGGTGACTTTCTCACTTTGCATTTCAACAGTTAAAGACAAGACTTCATGTCCTTTGAGCTGCAGCCTTCAGAGACATGACAGATTAACTAAATTCTTTAGGTGGTCTCTAATTTCAGGGTGAGTTGCATGACATTGACAGCGTAAATTAAAACTACAGTTCTGAGCTTTTTCATATTTTTTTTCTAGCACACATTTCCATAAGCTACTTGTATCATATGAAAGGAAAGAATAATAATTTCTTGCTCCTTTTTTTTTTTTCTGAAGATTTAACTCACCAATTGCATCAGCCTCCCTTCTGCACCTCACAATAATGTAACCATGTAGATTTGTCAGCACATATAAGTGGGTTTTCTTACACTATCCTGTGATGTGTCTGGTGACTGTAGTTAGAGACAGCATTTTTTCTGGATAAAATGGATTTAATCCAATAAAGGTAGACCGAGATCTGGTTTTGACCAAGTCATTCCACCTCCAATAGCTTGGCTTCCCCAGGAATATGATCAACTTAATATACTGGTCTCCTTTTAATGTGATGCCAGATTGATAGAGGTGAAGTGTTGCTAAATAACATTTTATCAAGTCCTGCATCCCTGGAGCTTGGATTATGGTGAAGGTATTTGCTTGGTGTTCATTTGTTCTTCCTGAAATATAAATCTGCTTTGCATTTATTTTTAGAAGATGGCATAGATTTTGAGGTTCAAGGAAATGCTACCTGCACTTAAGAGCAGCTGCCTCACTTTGTTGACCCTTTACAGCCTTAAGATGTCTTAGCTACAGTAGAGTTTCTAGCATGACTCATCCTGGATTTGAAGGTTCCAAGAATATACATCAGGGGAGCAGAACTGGAAAGTAAGCAGGTTTTCCCACTTCTGACTCTATTTCTGGCTGAGGTTGAATACCCCATGTGTCTCAGATTCCACATCTCTTAAGCTGAAGACTCTTCTAAGAAGTTCTTGCACCTGAGAAAAACAGTGTGAAGACTGAAGAGCCTGCAGAGCTGGTCTCCAGCTGAGAGGCACCCAGTGGATGGGTACCAGTTGGGTTTGAGAATGCATGCACTGGTTGCTCTACGTGTTTTGCTTTAGCTGTAGGGCTTTTACAGGTGGAGCTACAGCCTTCTGTTTTAGTCCTAAAGCTGTGGTTTTTCATCTGTGGTCAAAACAAAAGAGTAATATTTTCTGCTATGGAAAAGTGCCTTTCTAGTAAACTAAAAATAGAGCATAAATATTTTTAAAATATTCCGATAATACAAATGTGGGTGAAGGAAAACATTTAAAAATATGTCAGATGAAATCTATGTGGTTGGCAAAATTTGAAGCTTTGCTATTATTGAATGATTGCTGTGAGGAGTTCTACTCTTTTCCTTTAAATTGTCAAAGATAAACAACATCCACAGATGACATTTGTTAAAATTGTACTTGTAGCATAGACACTGTGAAAAAAATACTGTTATTACAAAAGCAAATAATTCAATAGTAAATTTAAATGAAGAAGAAATGGGATTTCTCCTCCTTCAAATAACCTGATTTTAATGTTAATGAAACCTTGACAAAAAAAAAATCTCCTGGGAGGGCAAAAGCTGAGAAAAACTATTGAGTATTACAGAAAAGAACCACTGTAAAGTGGCCAAAAGAGCCTAAGGTGATGGCACTGTCAACTTTGCTTCTTCTGAGCTTTATTCTGGTCACTCACAGATGCACTTGCTGTACATCTGTACCTTGGGAAAGTCATGTAAGAACTGACACAGTGTGCACATGCTGTAGGCAGTCCAAACGTGACACACACGGTTTAGTGTGTTAAAATCCAGGGGTTAGCTGATCTTTTCAAGAGGTCACTTACCCAAGGATAGCATGTATTTGTTTTCACCTCAGTCTAAACAAGAAATGCAGCTTCTTTGTCTCCTCCCATGTTTCTCTCATCCTCTGTGGCCTTTAGTGGAGCCCAGTTATGTTCCTTTTTCTGATGTAAGTCCTAATGCTGTATGAAGTAGCCTGCAGATGTTGACCAGTAGGGAGTCTCAGAAACAGACTCCTTTCACAAACAGACTGACCTTCACCTGGCTGAAGACTGTTATATCAAATTTCATTTAGATGCCTCTACTTGAGCAAATTGTTGTTGATGTTAGGTGTGCCAGGATGATTGCGCACATTGTTGATTCTCTTCAGGTATTTCAGCTTGCTTTGTCTTATTGCATGAAAATAATCCTTTCTTCTTACTGTGAGGGTTTAGGTGAATTTCTCCAATACCTATTTCATCTTTGAGGGACATGTTGATGTAACAAAGAATACACACAATATCAGCAGCCTGGAGAGCAGAATGGGACTTCAGCTCTTTGTCTTGGTTCTGGTGCTTTCTCAGGCTACCTACAGTGTCCACAGTTCTCTGCCTTTAAAAATATCTCAGATTAGCATCCAAGAGTATTAATACCTGTACACTTTGATAAGGTAATGTTTACAAATATATACATATTTATATCTATTTTTAACATACTCAGTATATCATATTTGAGTTGATTCTTACTCAAGAAGTAAGGGGTACGTGCACAAGAATATTTCCAAAGTATTTTTTAATTACTATTGTTCTCTGCAGACCCTAATTCCTTACTCCGTGCAGTAGCATTCCCCACCATCAGCCAACTGTACTAACTGTTCATTCACATACACAAAGTTCACTGACGTCTTGTTTTTCTAGTTCTTAAAGACACTTCAGCCACTACTGATGTGGTTTAGTTCATATGACACAGCCTCTCAGCACTGTTGACCACTAACTGAGAGAACGCTGATTATGAAGTATTAGACTCCATGTGTTTTCAAAATTCTTCCCATTGTTTACTGATGATGCAAAGGAAGCATTCTGTGCCAGTTCTGTGATCAGTGCAGGAAAGCAATACAAGTAGAAGAGCAAATGCTGTGATATATAAAAGCTGAACAAGCCTCAACTGGATAAGAAGCGTAAGAAATACGGGCTACAGTTGGCCAGAAATCGTTTTTTAATGTCAAGAATACAGCAAATTGTGCATACCTGAGGAGAAACCAAGAATGGCACAGTCCTCCATCCACTTGTTCGGCACATGCAATTAGAAGACAGAATACAGATCACAGAAATTAGATACTGATCATATTAGAATTTCAGGTGAAAATAAAAGTCATAAAATTGAATAGGCAAAGGCAAGGATTCACTTCTGAGTGTAAACTTTGTAAACAGAACTAAGCAAAAGACTGATATACTCAGATTTCTCCACTGAGAAATGTAACTGCATCTGGCAGCATTTCAAATTTTCTTCTCCCACTACTCTAAGAGCATAATGATGTTGTTATTACAAGTGAGAAATACCCAACATGCCTTCTTGTGGCTTCAACTGAATATTTGCAATGAGGAAAAAATATATCTTTATTCACACTGGATTCAGTCTCAAATACATTAAAATCACTAGAAATGTACAGCTATTGAGGTCTTTACTATCTTAAATTTATGCTCTAAATTACTTTCTTTAATGATTTTTATCATTTTATGAACTCTCTTTTCCCACTTAGGAAACACTTCAGGTCCTCTTGACTAATTATAGCATTAAAACAACCATTAGAAAGAGTTTCGAAGAAGCAGCTGATCCTTAAATGATTTCCAAAGTTAGTTTATACCTATTGTCTAGTGTTGTCTCTAGACAATTTATTTTGTGTACAAGACAAAGAAGTGCTTGAGAACACAGGGTCTGTAAGAGAATTGTATTGAAAAACCACACAGACTTAAAAACTAAACTGTCAGACCATGGTAAAAGATAACGGAAGACTGAAACAAAAAAATGTCCCACTGATGTTTCAAAATGTCTTTTACAAGAGGACTTCTACCAAAGCACTCGGTGATACCTTTGTCATATGAAAGATGCAGGCCTAGATGGACTCTGGCCATAGCTCCTGCAGACACAATCAGTTCTTTTACAGTTTGGTGTATTCCTCTTTATTGGCCACAAAAACAGGCATTTTCTGAACAACTTCTCAGAAGTGGAGAAGAGAAATTAGTATTAAACCAGTCTTGATCTGCTTGTAATTTTTCAGTTTTCAAAATTCTATGTAATATAAACTCCAGAAGAAACACTATTAGCTGTACTTTTACTACATAAAACTATTATAATTGTGATCTATGAAGTTTTGATGCATTGTGAAATGGTTCCATAAAGTTTCAACCTCCCACACAGGGATGAAATTGGCAAATGATTCTGTATTAGGGGTGTGTGTGTACATATATATATCTGTGTGAATAAGAGTATGCAAATGTATGTAGATATTCATGTTCTAGAAACAGTTACAATTTTCATTTTCAGCTCTGTGTGGGAGGCAGCTTCCTTCCATGGAGACGAACAACACACATTGACCAGAGAGAAGAACCCCATGATTAGTACTCAGCTGGAAATGCTGAGAGTCCAGACTGCTGCCTGTACGGTGTCTGACAGGACAATGGGGACTTAGCAGCCTGCAGAGCCCATCTGCCTTGAGAGGACAAAGCTTCCTCTTGCTGTTAAGCAAGCCTGTGAGTTGTCCTGCATCTACATGGGGCAGCAGGAAAGCAGGGTCATCTGCACACTCTGCAGCTGCTTTGGTTTGCCCAGCTTGTAGCCAAGGAAATTAGGGAAAAGAGCTGAAAGTACTGGGAGTGAGGCGATAGGAAAGGATGAATTTGTGACTGGATGTAGCCTAGAGGGTGTGTGAGAGAGGTCTGTGGCAGCTACATGCTGGGTCACACTGTCATGCCTTACTGTCCACAGGAAATTCAGTTGACTGCCTTCCCACAGAATTTATTCTTCCTGTGTGCCACCAGGGAAGCACTGCAGTGTGTTCTACTGCTCATGGACTAAGGGAAAGGCCCTGCATGCCAATCAGTGTCAACAAATTACCAAGGCATCAGTAGTCAGTCTCCAGTATGCCGAACCCTTCCAGAATCTACAGTAAATCCAGGTCTCTTGTCCTTGAGTTTAGAAAAGCAGCATATTCATGCTAAAACTGCTTCTGATGAGGAAACTTCCTTGGAGACAGCCTAACTTTTAAAAAACAAAACTAAAAATGTGCAAGACTCAGGCTTGAGGAAATGTTCCTTGTGTGTCCAGAACAGTACAACATCCAGACCACTCCTGAAGTTTTAGAAATATGTTTCTGGCTGCTGAAGTACTGCAGACAGAAAGCGTTCTGCAGACTACAAAGTGAAATTTGGGCTGCTATTCCCAAATTAGGCTGGATGAAAATTTCCTACAGATGAGGCAGCTCAAAATGTTGGAGGGATTTCTTGCCAAATTTCTGATCCCCGCCTTAAAATTTCTCTCCCAGCAATCACAAGATGCTGAAACAAGCTCCTTAATACATTAGTTTTCTCCTAAAGGCCAGAAGGAATTGTTCTTTCCTTTGCTCAGAGATAACAAATGAACACCATGTTTCCCAGTGCCACCATGGTCTAAACTAATGCCAGCACCATCATAAATCCTGCCCTGCCATCAGTCCTGTTTCAACACAACCTTGTTTTTTTGCTATCGTAACCATTTTTTTGCTATCGTAAACTGAAAGAAAAAACACTCTCACTTCTGTGACAGGAAAAAAGTCTTGGAATAATGTCAAAGCAGAGATGGAAAGAGGTAAGAACTGAGACTTCTACTATGGTATGAAATAAACAAATAAGTTTTCCATTTTCTGCTGATGACCAGACATGAAATGTATGCACCAACACTGCAGGTCAGGGACATTCTTCTTAGCGAGGGACAAATATCTGCCTACCTCCACAAGAAGCCAATTCAAGGGTTCAAAACATTTTGAGTTTAAGGAGTTACATGAGGGGACCTGCTGATGGACATGCTGAGGGGCTTCCTTGGTCAGCTGGGGTTTTCTGAAATGCAGGAATCCCAGCCAGACCAGCACTGCAGGACTTGCTGCAACAAGGAAAAGGCTATAATAAAACATCAGATGTTGCAGTGACCTTGACACACAAGAATGGAAGGAAAGACTCCAGAAACACAGACCAGGGTCCAGGTTAAGCACAAGGCTTGGTGCATGTGGAGAAGCCTAGTCCTGTCTCTCCTCCCCTCCATAACACAGCACACTACTGGCCACCTAATTATCCAGCCACCCTTATTTATATAATATGGCAAAATGAAAATGTTTATTCTTTCCTTACATACCTGTGCTGTTTTGCTTTCTGGCTCCCTTTGAAGCACCACAGTAGCTGCACAGATCCTGCACTGAGCATTCTGTTTTTCCCCTCACACAGGCTTTGTGGAGCCCAGCAGGCCTCTGTGATACACCCAGTATTATTCACAGTTCTCTACAAAGAATTTTATAGGAAGGACCATATGGACATTTTATAGGAAGGAGCTGGTGGTCAGCTGCCCAAATGCACATTAGCTGCCTCCTGCACCTCTTCAGTGCCGTTCAGCTTCTCCCTGGCAGTTGCTCTCCCATCAGAGGTCTTCCTGAGCGAGGGGATGAGAGGATGCAGCACATCTCCTGAAACAATAGCAGGTACAGACACCTTTTTGAGATTTCTGTTAAGGAGGAATAAATCCCAGTTTATCTTCAGAATGGTGATGACAATAGGACCAGAAGGTAACCACCTGGCTCCCTGAGCCCTTTTACTCAAATCTCTCTGCCATTTCAGAGAGGTTTTGATGCCTGCAGTCATTCACAGGTGAGCCTACAATGTACCTACCAGTCAGATGTGTACCACTTTAGCATGGTATGTCTCTGTGCAAATTAAGATTTGAAACTATAAAAGCTCGTTTTGGAACTGTCCTGACATACCAAAATGTCCTGACTGGACAGACTGGACCACAGCTATATGCTCTGACAAAAGCTAAATAATGTAACCAGACAGCTAAGTGACTTTCACTGAGGAGATCTTGAAATGAGTTTGGGTTTAAAACTTACAGGGAGGCTGATGCAGCTTCTTAGAAGCATTTCTTTCTCCCTCTTTGCATCTTTGACTTCCCACAAAAGCTAGATTTTGACAGAATAATTAACTTAAATTTCAGAGTCAAATGCAAGTGGAGAAGCTCCAGTTATCTTTCTTGACCATAGATAAGATCTTCACATAGAAAAATCCCCTGTATTATCAAAATACTTCCTTCAAAGAAAGGAAGTAGAAGGAGAAACACCCGCAATTTTTGATTAATGTTACGATGTGCCCTGTTACTACTACAGAGAAAATAAGGGTACAACCTATCAAAAAAACACTTCAAGGACAGCAAAAAGTAAAAGTGAAATTAAGTAATATGCAATTTAATATTAAGCGAGCTGTAGCTGTCATTATCAGGCTGAAAGCAGGGAGAATGAAACAATACGCCTGCCAGACCAAACAGCTACTGTAGTCCTGTCTCAAGGAAATCATCTGGGAAAAAAATCTATCTCAAGATCACACATACATACTGCAGTAATGTAAGTGTAAGTGATGTAAGTGATGTAAGTGAAAGCCCTAGGATAAAATGTAAACTAAAAGCAGGATACTCCCTGAGCTAAGCAACGCTTGCTTGTCTTTTAAGACATGGTGGAATTTTCCCCAACTTTCAAATGGTAGCTGAAAACAAACCATTCTTTGTTCTTTAGCCTCTCACAAGGAAGTCACACAGACTAAAGGTTTGCTGAGCAAATATATGACTTTTTCCTAGTCTGCCAGTTTTATTTTGATGTTAGCTCCCTCTCAGCAGCATGTCAGATAAGACTGCTTAGTTGTTAGGTTGATGCACTTCACCCTTATTAAGGAAAAAATCCCAACTAATTTGTAGGTTTGAGATACTTGTTGTCACCTGAGTATAAGTTTATACAGTGTTATCCTCTTGGCTGTATCATGCTGTAGGCATTTCCTTGGGAGGTGGATAGGCAGAAGGAATTTAAAGAGCTAGCTTTAGCCTTTTTCCTCTCATTTTAAGACAATGTAACTCCCTTTTAGAAGGTGTCTAAGAGCTGGCCCTGGACATCCCCTTCTCTGCCACCAGTGTTTGGGAAGGGTGCAGGCAACAAAAGCACTGCAGGTCCTGTTGCCTCACTGCAGCCCTGCCCCTCTGAAGAAGTGAGTAGTTCACATGTTCGGTACACCCTGGCTTCCCTTCTTACAACCACGGTGCTGACACCTAATGCATCTCGCTTAGGACAGCTGTTTAGACAGCCTTTAATGTCAGTGGAGAGGATGCCCTTAAAACCATCATTCCCCATTTACCATCTGTAATGAAAAACTCTCCCCATACTGAGACCAGACTACCTTTTAGAGGCACCTCCCTGCACTACAACTAGGAGGGTAGCACAGAAGGCGAAGTAAGTCACTGAAATTTAAAACATCAGTTAGGAGAGGGTAAGTTATATTTCAGTATCTGGCTTCTAGAACTAACCTGACCACCTTTGCATAACTCACCTGTCTTTTGTCAGGGGCTAACACTTAAGAATTACAGCTGTGTTTTGATGGGCCATGTATGTCAGCTTTAATATAAATTTATATATTAAGTAAGGACCTTAAAGAGCTTCTTTGAACACTCTCACCCTAAAAATGGCAACATTAAAATATGTGATATTTTTTTTTAAAAGGCACAAGGCTGTAGATGACTGAGAGATTTAATGCCTGAAGAATGCATGTCAAAGACTTTCTTGCTGCAAGCTTTAATTTGCACTTCTAATGTTACTTGAGGGGAAAAAAAAATCCACTCTCACTCACAGAAAAATTCAGTGAGATGCTGAATATTCCTGAAGAAAATATGTATGGTCAAAGTCATACAACAGCTTGGTTTCCAAAGGATGGGAGGCCAATATCTACACTGCCTCCGCACTTCAAAGGTCAGTAAATCCAACATATTCTGAAAAGGTGTCAAGGACAGACATCAAGAGAACTAAGCTCTTGAAACCTCTGTAGAAATCAGTGGCTGGGAAAGAGGTTCAAAGAATTCCTCTCAGGGGGAAGAGATGGGCATAAAGATGCCTCATCTCTGGCCTAGTGGAGATAATGTCAATCAACACAGGAACATGGAGAAAGATGCTTAATCTGCAGGGGGTGTAAGACATTCACAGGAAACAGGACTTTGTTAGTTCCACCCCTCAGAGCACTCATTTTAAATAGAGCTCTTTTCTCAGGATTTCCCACTTTGTAGCTAAGATTCAATTTCTGCTGGGACACCCTTCCTGCACCAAAAGTATTAGAGAAGATTAGGTATGACTACCCCTAAACAAGCAGCAGTTCTGGAGCTGGAAGAGGGAGCACGGCCATACCCACATTAGAATGTAGCCTGCACATCTCAGCTGGTCTGATACGAAACACTGACCACCAGAAAAGTAAAGTTATTTTATACTGCACTTCATAAAAACAAGAAAGTGACCACAAATGTGCATGATTTTGATCTCCATCAGCACATGGAAACACATTTCAAACCATTTCCTTATGCTCTGATATACTTGATACTGCATATTGACTCATGAACAATTAAAAAAACCACAGAACTTCCAAAACTGCTTGTTTTATAAATGAATACAGTTTTCCCCCTTTTCCTGACATTTCAGCACAAGATGGTGTGGTGCTTTTTCAATATGAATATCAAAATAAGGGTAATAAAAAGGCATGTAATTCATCTGTCACTACAGACCACTGGAATTTGTCATTATTTATTGCAGCCAACTGAAAAAATAGTGAAGATTTGTAACAACATTCTATGGTGCTTTACAAACATATGCTACCATCACAGGTAATTTCACTATATGTAATTTCTATTATGTATCCTGTGTTTCAACTTAATAGAATTAACACTGAAATACATACTTTCCAAACAAGGCAATATAAAGCACATATTTTCTTTATTCAAAAAAATATTCAATCAGTATTTATTATAAAATGGTATCTATGGCTGATCTAATAGCTAATGCCCCAAGCTGTTTTCTTACCCTAATGCTAAATTCCAGTGAATTGTTAATAGCAATTATCTGGGAAGAGCAGGAAAACCGCTCCAAAAAAGTGCTGACTGCAGGTTCTGCAAGAAAACAAAGAGAAATGATCGTTTGTACCCTACAATACCATTGTATCATTTGTTACATTCTATCCCTGATCACTTTTGACAGGTACCACAAGAGATTTTGCAGCACCATAGTATTTTGTGCTAATCTGTTACTGGAACCCAGGGCTCCTCTTTTTGGTAAATGCCAGATTGCCAGACAATGTAAGAGGGCCCCCCGGCATTCACTCTGGCTCTTACATATTATTTTGCTTATATGTTCAGTTTCCTATGTCTTATTGACACATACCAATAAACAAGTTCAGCAAATACTTGGTTACTGGCACCAGCCTGGGAGATGGTAAAAAAGGCTTGAAGCTGCTCAAGACAGAAGTGGTATCCTCTATTTCCCATGCACCAATTCCTTTTCAGCTATTTATAACATGGGTTAACAACAGGTTTTATATTTTAGGAAAAATTTCTTCAACGAAAGGGCTGTCAAGCTTAAAACAGACTGCCCAGGGAAGTGGTTGAGTCACCATCCCTGGAGGTATTTAAAAGATGCATAGATGTGGCACTCAGTGGCAGATTAAGGGGCAGACTTGGTAGTGTTTCGTTAATGGTTGGACTTGATGATCTTAGAGGACTATTTCAATTTAAATTACTCTGTGATTGATTTTGAAGGAAAGCAAAATCCCTGCCTTTATGAGACACTCTGTCTTACTGGTACAGATTCTAGTGCTCTCAGAATTATCTTCCAAATCCAGGTACTTCATGGATACTCTGAGCTCTGACAGGAAGGACTGCCCGCCTGTGGCTCTGACAGCAGCAGCCACCACCCGCATGAAAGAAGACAAGCAGGAGCCTGGGCAGTCCTTGGGTCAGCCTTTAATCACAAAGCTAAAGGAGACCAAAGATAAGGGACTTAAATGTAAAGAAAATGATGGGAAAGTGAGAGCACTTCTTCATACGCTAAATCAAAACTGCATGCAGGGAGGAAGGCACCTGCAGTTGATGCTGAGAAAAGCAATTGGATTTGAAAATCAGGAATGCCAAGAAGTAACTGCCAAGAAGTACAACTTCATTCATGAAGTGTGTGCTGGAAAGGACAAAACCTGGTATGAGAAGATAATGAAGTAATGCAACAATCCATGGAAAAGATTTAGAATTGAAAAATACTAAAATACTGCAGTATTTTACCACCTCTTCATGAATTAAGATGCTTAAGCCTATTAATAATGATGCAGAAAAGGCAGAAGCTTCCAATTAAAAATTCCACTTCCTATTTGAAAAGGCTGTGTATTGTGTGAGAAAGTATTTTCCAACACACCAGCAACTGAAAAGGCAAGGCAAAACATTACTAGAAATAATTAACAAACAGGATATATTAAAGACAGCTGACCCAGCTTATCTTTAGTAAACTGAAAATGCCAATAGATTTTGGAAAGATCATTCACTCTACAGAAGGGAAACTAGAATGAATTAGATATAAATACAAACCAATTTTCCAATATTCAAGCCATGCTGTAGAATTTAAAGGTTCAAAATGTAATTACCACTAATTAACACCTTTTATGAGAAATACGCTTTTGTTAATATCATTTTGCTTGCCAGTGAGGTATTTGGTTGATAAACCTGTAACTGAATAGGTTTGGTATTTTTGCAGGGAATCATCACATTGAAACAAACTTCCAAACTCACAACTAGAGCAAGACAGTGTGTATGTCTCTAACATACACACTGGATACACAAACTATCAGATTTCAACAAGCAGCTCCCCCACTGGCTGCCAGTCAAGTGAGTTTTAGGGGAAGCTGCTCTTGTTTAACGCTCTTGTTAAACCAGACAAAGGCAAAGCCAACACAGAGTAATGCAAAACCCATACCTTTCTCTGTGACTAGAGAAGATCCATTTGTTCAGGCTATCAAAAAGAACTTGCACAGAAATAGAGCATATGTTCACACATTTCAATAATGACAACTTATTCTCATTAGTAAGTACTTACACGAGTGATAGATTTGCACTCTACTACTACTCTACTACAGTACTTACAACTAGGAAAATTTTTGAATGAAGAACTGAGCTCAGTCTGACTGAAAGATATTTAGTTTGATGCCAGGTAACTTAGAAACTTGCAATATTAGATCACCTGATGGAATTTTTCCCCTTTGATCATAAGATTTCAGACAGTAATGCTGTATTTTTCCCAAGCAATATTTAGCCCATGTGCAAAAGGGCACCTCCACTTAGAAAAGATGATGCAAATAGCATGAAGAAGACAAGTGATAAAGAACAGTGTTCTAGAATTGCAAATAGAGCACCTCTACACTACTTGCAATCAAGAGCTGACCCTCTCCAAAATCTAGTCTCCATTTCCATTGTGCTACTTACAGTCACCAGAGACAAGACTGTCCCTACAAACAGGAAAAAACACCCAACCCAATGCAATGGGACAGAAGGAAAGTTTTTGAGTAAGGGGACTTTTACCATGGAACCACTGTGTGAAGTCAGTGACCTACTGATCTCCTCAGAGTTGGTTCTACTTTTGATGACTGATGTCCAGGTTCATGAAATGCAAAGTTCTTTCAACGCTTTTACAACACCGCATAAATCTTTACATTCATATAAAAATACAAGCCCTTATACATGTCAATAAGTCCCTGACTACCAATTTCACACCACTACATTTGCATTTATACTTGCACACTGTAAATAGTATTAAAGATCAAGCAGACATTGAACTACTAACAGCTCCATAATCTGAGCTGCAGCATTGTGTTTAATTACATTGCATTATTCAGAAACTTCATCACATGACAGAATGTGGTGGCACAACAGAAACAATAAGCACAACAAATCCAGGTGAGATTTTTTCTGTACATTATATTTTTCATCAACTAGAAATATTTTATTAGCAATACAGATATTTAAATATTAAAAATCTATACAACGTCCTTTTCTCTCCCAGTCTCCAAAACGTGTAGGTTCAGGGCCTCTAGGTCCACCCCTCTCTTTTGTAGTAGGATTGATTCCATCAGGGAATTCTAAAATAACAGGGAAAGTTCATTAAAATTTCTATAATGTTGACAAATATAAAGATGCTATAATTTATGATGTTCTCCTTTTAGTTTCATTTTCAAAGACAAATTATTTTTTGTTTTGAATGGCAACCTTGAGTTAAACATTTCTCAGAGTCCTATAAAATTATTTTCTGTTGTATGATCGTATTCAGTTATGCAAATAAAGGAGCAACTGAATGTCCAGGGGCATAAAAAGACCACAGGTTCTCAAGTCAGAACTTGCATCATTCAGGTACTCTGTACTTATGTTCACTAAATCTAAAACCCCAGGTAACTTGCTGTTTAAGTCTCTCTAATTTTAAGCATTCTGTTCCAATTTCAGCTTGAATTTTAGTCAAGATTCTGTTAGTCTTGTATTTTAAACGTCCAGGTTGGATAGTTGACTCATCCAACCTAACCATGAACACTTCCAGGAATGGTGCATCCACAGGTTCATTGGGCAGCCTGTTCTAATGCTTCACCACCCTTGGAGTAAAGAGTTTCTTCCTAACATATAATCCAAACCTGCCTTCTTTTAGCTTAGAACCACTGCTCCCTTCCTATCACTATCTGCTTGTATGAAAACTCCTTCTCTACATTTTATAAATGCCCTTTAGACATCAGAAGGCCACAATTCGATCTTCCCAAGCCTTCTCTTCTTCAGGCTGAACAACCCAGCTCTCTTAGCTTGTCCTGGTAGAAAAGATGTTCTAGCCCTATGATCATCTTTGTGTTCCTTTTCTGCACCCACTCAAACAGGTCCATGCCATTCTTGCGCTGAGGACTCCACAGCTGGATGTAGCACTCCAGGTAGGGTCACATGAGAGCAGAGGAGGAGAATCACGTCTCCTGACCTGCCCACGCTGCTTTTGATGGAGTCCAGGATTTGGTTTTCTGGACTGCAATCACACACTGCTGGATCATGTCCAGCTTTTCATCCAACCCCCTACTCTGCTACAAAAGAGAAGCACACTGCCAGCTCACGTTACTTTCTCAAACACTACAGAGCTTTCTGTACATCAGCCAACATTCTTACACTACTCAGTGCACCTTTACCCAGGGCCATCTCCAAAGAACAGTTAAGTCAGGCCATCAAGCCATGAAGTACTTGTGGCACAGCACCACCCTAGGCCAAGTCTCATCCTGCACTAGACTGAGGGGCTCCCAAAAACTCAGAGTACCCCACATGCCCCTTGCCATGCTGATTTTCCAGAGCTTCCCATATATACACCTAACGTGGGACTCCCTCAGTCATATCCCTAACTCAGCCCTGGTGTGCAACACAAGTAACAAGGTGCAGGGTTGAAAATGAGAAAAGACAACAACAGAAATTCTGGACAGCAGACAAAAAGAAAAGTCATGGAAGAAACTCACGCAACTACAGGCTATACAGGATGACATGCCAGGATGCCTGTTTCATCAGTTGATAGAGACCAGGAAAAGAAATGTCAGCATCTGAGCACCTCTGGCAGTACAAGGGGTGCAAATGCACCTGATATTATTTTATACATGCCATCATCCCAATAACAAAGCACTGCTGCCGTGCTGACAGTGCATGCAGATGCTCAAAAGATTTCTCCCCAATAGCTACAGAGCAGTGGGAATTCTAAATCCAGCTTCAACTCATAGTTTTTTCCTAATAATACAATAGGCAGTTTGCAAACTCTTGATGGTATTACGTGTAAAAATACAGGTGCAACTAAAGAGACCTTAAGTCTTGCTCCAAACTTGGAATACCTAAGCAAATAACAAAAGATATTGCTTATGCATGTTTTAAATGAAGCAGTGATGGCATTGATTTTCCTGGGAATAAAAAGATGAGAATTAAGCAGCTGCTTACACAGTAACTCCAACTGTGAGTTAGCTCTCAAGTGAGCCACAATCTGAAACTGCGTGGAGGTAATTCTATAATGCAAGAATACAACAACAATACAATGACAAACTTTTGGATAAATTAATGAAAGAAGGAGAAGCAGAAGTAGTTTTTCACCATGATGCAGCTTTAACAATGGCTGTGGTGGCCTCAGGGTAATACACTCTGGAGTTGCAAACATTATTTTAGCTCTGCTGCACAAAAAGCGCCATTTTGCCCTGTATGAAAAGAGGGAACTTCTGTGGAAGAGTATCCGAGGAATTTGGATATGAAATTAAGGATTCTAAGGTGGAAGAAGAAGAAGAACAGTTTCTTAAATGAATGTAAGGAGTAATTTGTCTTTATGCTACTAACATTCAACTCTGGTGGCCTTATGGAATTAAATAATGGGAACATCCTCATGGACTGAACTATGCATGGCACTGGCTTGCCCGGATGTTGAATATGGAGGCTCTGACAGATGTGACAGCTATGCTACTTTTTAATTTTCTGGAGGTGAGTGGCAATGCTCTTGTGAGACAGTACCACATCCAGTTCTGGAAAATAACTTTTCCAAGTTTATCCAAGACTACATCCAAAGAATTGGATGTAGTCTTGGATAGTCATCAGCACTGTACAGAAGGGCAGGATAATGTGTTTGAATGATTTAATGAAGTACTGTCTACAGACTAAGGAAATTCTGCTTCCAATGGGCACTCTGCTGCCTTTCTTTTGTAGACAATAGATCAGTCTGTATTTCTTTTCCCCAGGGTGTTAGTGCTTTCAGACCTGGCTTCCTGTTTCCATAGTAAGGTAGAATATGTTCTGTATATAGAAGAGTGAGAAGAAAATATTGCATCAACTTGTTAATACTTAATTCATGAAGATGTTGGCCAGAAGAAACTTGTGTTTAATTTGCTGCAAGTAGTTGAAAGTTATTCTTTGCACTGCCTCTTTGAAAGTTCTTGTATAATAAATATTTGTTTTAAAACAAAACAAAACAAGCCTAAGCCCCACCCAGAGTACTGTGTAGAATCCTCAGCACAAAAGAGAGGTGAACCTGCTGGAACAAGTCTAGAGAAGGCCACTAAGACAATCACAGGACTGGTGCACCTCTCCTATTAACACAGACTGAGAGAATTGGGGTTCTTCAGTCTGCACAAAAGTTTGCGAAGACTTTTTAGAAGCCTTCCAGTACCTGAAGAGGGCCTGTAAAAAAGCTGGAGAGGGACTTTAAACAAGGGTATGTAGTGACAGGACAAGGGGGAATGGCTTTAAAATAAAACTGGGTAGGTTTAGATTAGCTGTTAGGAAGAAATTCTTTACTGTGAGGACGGTGAGACACTGGAACAAGATGTTCACAGAGGCTGTGGATGCCCCATCCCTGGAAAAGTTCAAGGCTAGGCTGCACTGGTCGTTGAGCAGCCTGTTCTAGTGGAAGGTAACCCTGTCCATGGCAGGAATGTTGGAACTGGATGATCCTGAAGGTCTTTCCAACCCAAACCATTCTATGATTCTATGATTTTTCAGTCATCTTGTTGTCAGGATATTTATAGCAATCTATCAAGAAACTAAAGAGCTTATCCTCGAGACCTCAAAATAGATAAACATGGGTTACTGCTACTGATGAACTGTAGCAGAACATCACATTATGGTGATTTATACAAAGCACGACTATGGCTTTTAGTTAAGTGAAGATGGCTCATTAAAAAGAAGAAAGAGATTCTGTCTTTCTCCCACGTGACAAAAAAACTTATGTTCCTATTTAGTTCAGAAGTGATGTATCAGTATCTCAATTTTGTCATGCAGCCCCACTGAGGTCCCCAGAACACAACAACCATACCAGCTCGTTAGGTCTGTCCAGGCCTCACTGAGATGCTCAGCAAACTCAGAATCAATTATTTATTTTCAAAACACTGCCTGCAAGACTAAGAAATGTTGGCCACAAAATGCAGCACGGATCAGAAATGTTTTATGGACTAAGAAATAAAACAGGCTTTTTGGATAATACAAAGTAGCTGCTGCCCTGGTGAGTTTACTGGCACCATTTACAGCTGTACTGTTACAGACCAATACCAGCTACGTTTCTCTGAATCGTGCAAGGCTTTGTGGTGGTGGAAGGCACCTTTGGCAAGTACTTGTCTCCAGCCCTGCTCAAGGCAGGGCTGGCAGTAAGTCAGGCCACCCAGGCAAATTTGCTTATCTTCAAGAGCGGAGAAAGCCCAGCTTCTCTGTGTGACTTGCTACAATGTTTGACCATGGTTGTTCTGAAGGCTCCTCCTCTCCACTGGTGCACTATTTGCTGCAATTTGTGCCCACTGCCCTGCCTGTTAGTTTCTTCAGAACCAGCTTAGAAAGTGATTCTAAAGAGTGCTGAATACCTGTCACCTTCTTAAACTGACATCAGCACAGCATCTCACAGTCTTGCCTTTCAAACACACCTTCCCATTTTGTAAAACATTACTTACTTTCCAGGGGTTCCTTCTCCATGCTGGACTCTTCTGGTTCATCAAACCGACCTACTGGTAACTTTGGTTTCTTTAGTGGCTGCTTAGCAGGTTCAGATCTTCCTCCTGGCTTAGAGCTGGAGCTGCTTCGCGAGTGGCAAAGAAGTGATGACTCTATCAAGCAAACGGACACATGTAGCATAAATGTGGGAGTTAACACTGACTAATGCTGTGACTGTCCAGAGCACCTCTGAAAAGAACCTTCTTCAGGGATGAGGGAGAGGAAGGCAGGAAAATCAATTCTAAAAATTATTTAACATTCAACTCATGAACACCTAAGAAATCAGCACAGATAATTATTTTTGGCCCTAGAAACATATGTAGGCAAAATTGTGTTAGTTGTATAACTCAGTTCACATAAACAGTGTATTTTAAACTGCTTGAACTTATCTTTGCTGTTACTTTCTTGTATTTTAGACTCTTAAACAGTAATTATGCTAGCATAGACCAGTACAGTCTGTTTTCCGGGAGAAATCCTAACCTCCTCCAAGAAACCTGCTGATTTCCATCTCTTGGATCATTTCCAGCAACTTTTTAGTCAGAAAAAGCTTCTGCTTTTCCAAAGGAAGGTTTAAAAGAATAAAACGTTCCCTTAGTAACAGGTTTCCCAAAATGTCGGCAGAGGATAGCAGGGTTTCCCTTAGGATGGTAAAATAATTCAGCTGGTAATCAAAAGCAGGAAAATCTTTGTTTAAGTTCAATTATGTAACCACATGCAAATGCTTTCATTAAAAGCATTAACTTTTTTTCCTTTAAATTCCTACTAACATTTTGGTTAAAAAAGCCCAATGTCCACAGTGAGCATAAACTATCCACTAAAAATATTTTGGCTGTGGACAAGTGCCTAAAGCAGTTCTGACATTTCTTAAGCAGCAAGATTTAAACAGAGATCCACCCTATACCAAGTGGGTGCAAAGTACCTGAAAGAACTATTATTCTACTTTCTTAAGGAGATTAAATCAGGAAGCCTTCTCAAGCACTGTCAATTTGACTGACACCTTAATATATACCAACAACACACTTTTATTCCCAGAATCAGCATATTCATTAATTTTAAGATACCACATCTTTAATATCAAACCCTACAGCCACATAAACTGTATTATGTCTGCCAATGCCCCAAAGGAGTAATGTTTTTTTTGGTGGCTTGTTTTTTTTGGTGTTTTTTTTTTTTTTTGCTTTAAGCATGACTTAACAAACTATCAACAGTAAAGGATCTAATCTGTTGCAAACGTTTCTTTCTGTCAAGCTTCATGTCATTCTTCAGTAAGCTAGAAGAAATGTCAGCTAGAAAATTAAATTACAGCTGGTATTCTAGTCCAAATTCAAATAAAGATCAGATTAAGGTACTGGTACAAAATTGATTATCTTGGTCACTAGAGAAGAGGCAAAATCCATTTTTCTTGATAGATTTTCTTAATATTTTTTACGAGAATACACCCTTCTTGACAGAGAAGTGACAAAAATTCAACATTAATCATCTCTGAAAATGATGAGAACTATCAACATTAGCGAACCACATTCTACAAACTGATCTTTGATTCCCTCCTCTTTTACACGGTGTCACAAAGCCCTCCCATTTATTAATTATATAACTGAACTTAAAGTCGAAAATCCCAAGTCTTTAAAGTAGCTGTGCTACAGTATTCCATCTTTTGAAGTGGCTCACAGCCCGTGAGTTATTCTAGAAAAGCCATCCATGCAGTGGGAGCTGAGCACACATCGGGAAGCTCAGATGATCAGAGCATCAGCCGCATCTTGCCACGAACCTGACAGCCAAATAGAGCACAAACATCTAACAACAAATTTTTAACAGCTCTTCCATTACCTTACAGCGTACTGGTTTGTTTTAGGGAGTACTGTACCAATAACACCACACAACCTCAGCTTTTGACGGAAAGGGAAGCACCCAACAAACAGCCCAAGCGGAGGCCTGTGGGACAGGCTCTGCTATCCGGTCTGCCTTACTCCTCTATAATATATACCTGAATTTCCTGCGGTGAAGGGCACAGAGCAGTAACTTCCAGGTCTACAGTATGTTTCCTCCAAACGTTACACCACTAACATTTTACTGCCATTAAGAAGTATGAAGGAACGACAGGGCAAGAAAACCTCTGTAATAAACACATTTGCCCGACAGCAGTAGGTTTCCAGGACAGGGGAGAATATTAATACCGAACGGGCGGGGGAGGAGGGGGGGAAGTGGGGAGAGCAGGGAAACTGTAGGGACATGGAAGGTGTGGGGAAAGCTGTGAAAGCCCACGGCCCCGCGGCTGAGGAGGCGGGACGTGTCGCACTCCTCACCCGCCGCCATCTTGGGCGCTCTCCAGCCCCCCAGCACCGGCAGCCGCGGGCGGCGCCCGCCCTGTTCCCTGGCTCGCTAGTTCCTGCGAGAGGAAGGCCAGTGGAGCCGGGGAGCCCCTCGGCGGCGCGGCACAGCCCAGGCCCTCCCGCCCTCCGCCCGCCTCTTA